TTTTCAATTTATTTATAATAAGTCCACTATAAAGAGATTTTTCTTTATAGTGGAAATTCGTTATAGTGGACAAAAATGCCTGGAACCATAATGTCCACTATAACGAGCTTTGACTGTAATAAACATTCATTCCTTAAAAAAATAAATAACCAACCCATCCTGCTTTGACATAAGCAACAGAACCTTCACTTTGATCATACTAAGAGGGTTTATCCCAATGGAAATCATAAGTTGCCCGGAAGAAAACTAAATACCAACAAATCAGTCAACGAGAAAAATTAATTTCTAATATAGTAACTAGGAGAAAGATGGTAGTAGTAGTAAAATCAAAAAGATGCACAGACTTAACTGCCGCCTAGGCGCAGTAAGTTCTGGAACTGGGTTATTATTATTTGCAAATAATTTTTAAATACTTTTATTTTCCAGTTTAAATTACAAAAAATTTATTAATATATTTAATAATATTAATAAAAACTATTAAGAGATATTATATATTTAATTTCCTTTCTCAAAATCTACATAAATAATAATTTACATATACAAATATTAGATCTATTTTTTTATGAAGGAATTTGTTCAACAAATTTACTTGTTCCTGTTATATTAGCAGAATCTAACGGTAATGATAATCTACCGACAACATTTCTTATAGAATTTATTATACTTGAGGCTCTTGAAGAATTTAGAGATAGAGATCTATTACTAGTTTGTCTTTCATGTGAAATACCAGTTTCTTTTTGTTGTCTCTCTTCAAGTGAATCAGTATCTGGTAATTCGAATTTTTGCATACATTTTGATCTACGTCTTGCCACAATTAAAATAATTATACTTGCTGCTATAGTAGCTGCAACTATGCCGCCTATTATTGGCCCTAATATTTTACTATTTAAAGGGTCATTTTCATATTTTGTCGTCGATGTGGTTTCTGTTTCTTTGGTTGGACCACCATCACTAGTGCCATTACCAGATTCATCTGTGGTGGTTGTAGCCGTAGGCACGTATGTCGCGAACATTGTTGATGAAGCATTAGGATCAGATGGTGGCAGTGGCGGTCCTGGATTCTTTGGATTATTCGGATCCGGTGGATTGTTTGGATTATTCGGATCCGGTGGATTGTTTGGATTATTCGGGTTCGGTGGATTGTTTGGATTATTCGGGTTCGGTGGATTGTTTGGATTATTCGGATTCGGTGGATTATTCTGACTTGGTGTATTGTTTGGATTATTTGGATTATTTGAATCTGGATTTGGTTGATTATTTGGATCTGATGGATTATTTATATCATTTGTATTATTTGGATCCTGTGGTTTCTTTGGATTTTTTGGATTCGGTGGATTTGTATTATTTGGATCTGGTGGATTTGGGTTATTTGGATCTGGTGGATTTGGATTATTTGGATTCGGTGGATTTGTATTATTTGGATCTGGTGGATTTGGATTATTTGGAATTGGTGTATTATCTGTAATATCTGGGGTCGGTGGATTGTTTGGATTATTTGGTGGTGGCGGTGATGTAGGAGAGATTACAACAGGGCGAGTTGCAGTTGGTGCTGTACCATCTACAGAACTAGGAACAACAATTGTTGGCAAAAAAGTCCCATCATTGTCAGAAGTTGGTGGCGGTGGTGGCGGTGGTGGTGATTCAGGCGGGTTTAAAACAGGACGAGTTGGAGTTGGTACTGGACCAGTTATAGAAGAAGGAACAATAATTGTTGGCAAAAGAGTCTCACTATTATCAGAAGTCCTTATCGATATAGTTATTTCAGAAGGGTCAGTGGACGAAGGGATCGATACGCTCCTTGTTATTGTTTGTGTAGTTGATGCATTGGTTGGAATGGATATTGTAGGAAGTTCGGTAGTGATTCCATTATTCGTGGTCGTAATTGATGATGAAGAATCGGTTATTGATGATGAAGAATCGGTTATTGATGATGAAGATGGATCAGTTGTAGATGACGATTTGGTCGTAATTGATGATTCGACTTTAGTTACAGTCGGCGACGGTTGACTATTTGTACTACTACTTGAGGAAATAGATTTAGTGACGCTTTTTTTGTTCGTTGTGCTTATAGTAGCACTCGAACTTGCCGAGCTTTTTGTTGAAGTTTTTTTGCTTGCGGATTGTGCTATATGTGCGTGTGATGGCAACAGATA